CCCCCCCCCCCCCCCCCCCCAGTGAAACACAAAATATGGATGCATCATGAAGTCAGTAATCAAATACATTATTAAATGTACAGTATTTACAGTGACAAGAAGCAAAAACGTCATATACAGTACATGGCAAAATGAACAGAATCCGCTTACATATATATGTATATTGCAAATGAACATCATTTTCGATAATAAATGTACAACGCCGTTAGTAAAAATGCCCTTTTTAAGTGATATGACTAGATTTGGTGATTTCAGGTTAGAGAACATGAAACGACATGCATAGTGTACAGTATACAAAAAGCGTAGCTTCAGTCATTAACTGTCACACACTCACACAAATCCACACAGTCATTCATACTGCATGTAGATCTGTTATATCGTTTTCTCTCCAGACATGCAAAAAGTCTTGCCGATTTAAAGTGCAGATGCTCAATGTTCGTTGATTTATTTACTTCAAGAACACTACACTAGTAAAGCAGGAACGCTTTATAATGAGTACAACTTTTCCAGGAAATCATAGATTGTGACTAGTAGGGCAATAGATACCTTTAAAAAAACAAGCCTTCCTTCCTTCACCTTTGCCTTAGCACTCGGCACCATACTCCGCCAAAAGACTGCTTCAGAGTTCAGAACCTCTTCTCACATGGCAGGCTATGGTTTCAGATCCCAAAAGATACATCTGCCAAGTGGTAATAATATAGTGCAGCAGGGACATCTTTACTCAGTATATTTATCGAAAAGGTCTGATTTCGAGCACATATGAGGAAGACCTTTGCGTGCGTGTGTCTTTCCTCACAGCTAAAGACAGAGAGACGAGAGCTGCAAGCAGAAGTACAGAAGGTGGTTTTTTTTTTCCCGACTAGAATTCCTCACGTAGTTTGTCACCGTCAGACATCTTGAAAAGCTATCAAATTTCACAGCAGAGACTAGCGTGTCACTCATTCCACACATGGCTTCACCATGCACACATTTTAAAAAAGCATCATATCAATTTAATTTAAAAAACAAACAAACAAATCCAAACGAAGCAAGAATTAATCACGATACAACAACATCTAGCCCAGTAGCTGTACATAAACACATGGCTGTTGCGTCATAGAATAGAAGATTTATTATATTATCATAAACTCCTCCAGAATAATAAATTAGTTTCTTCTTCAAAAATATATATACACCTTATTGCCACTTCAATTGCTATTGTTATATTTCTTATCAAGGTAATGGGCAGCTCCTCCCATTCGTATTGTG